TGATACTGTCTCCACACAGCTGAACAGATACGTTACTGTTCTTAAACATGTTGGGTGTTTAGGTGTAATTGATTATTGTGAAAGAAAACTATTTAGCAAAGACGCTGAAGGCCTGCAGAGTACCATAACATAAGGTTTTGCTTTACCAACATTGCGTAAAAATATACAATTCCAATGTTGTTCACTTGGATTGTGAAGGTACGCGAGATGTTGAACAGATACGTTACCAGAGAACCTAGAATTAATCGAAACTTAACTTCTCCATTGCCCCATAACAAACACACATGCATCAGTCACACGTTACTTAGTTCATATGTACAGAAAATTGCTCACTACATTTCATACGTGTACAAAAAGAAACCAGAAACGTTTTTGCCAAACAGATATGTTACCAACAGATACGTTACTGGTCATCTGTACTGGTACAAATTTCAAATTTCCCGCTGAAATGACAACTAAATCACGCGTTATTTGCATAGTTGACGTGAGTTTTGTCATTTGACACGTTTCCGGCAGAGAAGTATAGTCGAAAGGGATTTTGAAACCTCATCCAGACTTTTGTGGAGGTTCTCCAATGAACATAGGTAAGTAATAACATATGTAGCCAACCATTGTTACTTTCCGCCTTTTTAGATGCTCTTTGACTTGTTGTTTAGCATGGATGTTTGTAGTTTTAATGAAACTGCACTTCTGATCATTTTGATGGTAACGTACCTGTTTTCAAAGTAACGTATCTGTTTATTGAGGTCACGTATCTTGCTAAGGCTTTTCAATCCAACAATATGAAAGAAATGGTCTAAATTTGATGATATGATCATACAAGCAAGTGTAAAGCAACATCCAAATTATTCATCAATATACTCTTGTGTTTAAAGTCATAAATACAGTGGTAACGTATCTGTTGGTTTGGTAACGTATCTGTTGCAAATACAGGTCTCTTTTGAAAACTCAATCTGTACTGAACTATAATTGCTGCAAGTGATCTGACGTTTTACAGGCGGTTATCATACATTCAGATTGTTATAAATATCGTCTTGTTTCTCCAGAAAATGGCACGATCCAGGGCTGAGATACAGAAATCTTATCGTCAAAGAAAAAAGCAAAACGACCCCCAGTATCTTCATCGTGAACGACTTAGAACTGCATCAAATCGAGTCCCTGCTGCACAACTCTCTCGGACAAAATTGAAGAACAGGAGAAACAAAAACAAGATATACTGTGCTATGTATAGATTAAAGAAATTAAAGAAATCACAAGCTAATCGTCAGGATGACGCAACAGAGACCACTTCTAACTCAGAAGAAATTCTACCTCAGCCAGTACAGAGTGAGGCAGTATCCAGTTCTGGTGATCTCAAGACTGATTCTCTGCCTGGTACCTCAAGAAAAACTCGCTTAACATCACCTCAAGGAGGCAAACTACTGGTACGGATTCCTTTTAGGCCAAAGTCAGGACCTCCCAAAAGAAGATCCAAAGCCTTGAAGAAAGCACGTGATGAAGTTGGAAGATTGGAACAAGCTTCTGTTTCTTATCGCCGGAGTGCTAAACGATGGCAGAAACGATATGAGCGTCTCAAAAACAAAATGAGAAATGAAACAGAAGTCAGGAATGCTCATGATATCAACAACACTCCTCGATCTAGAACGGTCGATGATCTAAGGCAGAATGGAGTCAGTCCGAGAGATCTTCCAAGAGGTGTCGTGAGGAAACTGGTAGTAAGTAACTGTCTCCTGGATGAAATAAAGGACGCCCGTCATGCAAACAACAGTGACACCATTAAAGGTGTTCTAAATTCTGTTGTCGGTGGCAAAATTGTGAAGCGGTACAAGTAAGGGCGATTCCTCAATAGAGCTACTGGCTTGTGCCGGCGTGGGCTGACCAATGTCGCAACCAAGGCTATTGCCATTACAAAACGATCACGGCAGACTCATATCAAATCACTAATTAGAAATAAAGTTGTCAGCTTTCTTGAGAGAGATGATGTCAGCCGGTGTATGCCTGGGAAACAAGATGCCTTGAAAGTAGATGGAGTGAAACGCCAGACTCGGATACTCAATGACTACCTGTCAAATCTCCATGATCGGTACACAGCTGAAAATCCGACAATCAAACTTTCATTTTCTGCTTTTTGTAAGCTGCGTCCGCGAAATATCAAACTGACATGTGCTTTGTCTAGAAACACATGCCTTTGCACAAAACACCAGAACATGGCTCTTAAACTGAAGGCTCTGACATGTGTTGGCATTCAGATCTCTTCACACCCAGAAGTAGTCAGTAGAAATGTATCACTAGAACAAATGAAGGAGAAGCTATCTCAGGTTCCTGATGGAGAGATTGAATATAACGAATGGAGCCGGATTGAGGTTGAAGGAAAAAAGGTCATGCGTGTGGTGAAAAAATCTTTGTCCAAACCTGATTTTACTGTTATGATGTCAGAAGAATATTCAAGGTTTCTAGAACATGTCATCAGAGTCCGAACTCAGTACAAAGCACTTTGCGACCTAAAGGCACGGCTTCCTGGTGGGGAAATGATTGTCCAGATGGATTTTGCCGAAAATTTTACATGTCAGACAATGGACGAGATACAATCTGCATACTGGAATGCTACAAGTGCTACACTTCATCCAGTTGTAGCATACTACATGAAGAATGACACCATGGAACACAACAACTATGTGTTTATTTCAGATGTCAACAGTCACAATGCAAATGCTGTTTTTGCCATCATAGAGAAGCTGGTCCCCATTCTGAAACAAGATGTCACCGATCTGAAGAAAATACATTACTGGACTGACAGTCCTTCTTCACAATACAGAAATCGGTACATTTTTAATGTAATCACCAACCACCAAAAGCTCTTTGGCGTTTCCGCTCAATGGAATTATTTTGAGAGTGGACATGGGAAGGGCCCATGTGATGGAATTGGTGGAACTGTCAAGCGTATGGCATCGGAAGCTGTAAAGCAGGGAAAATGTATCATTCAGGATGCAAAAGATCTCTTTTCATGGGCTGAAAAGAACCAGAAGTCAATCAGATATTTCTTTTATTCAAGGGAAGATTATGACGCAGCAGCCAACTACCAGTCAAGCCAAACAGTGAAACCAGTCAGTGGTACAATGAAAGTGCATGCTGTACTGAGTCAAGCAGCTGGGGAGATCACTGTCCGGGATACCTCTTGCTACTGTAGCGGTTGTCTTGAGGAAACTCAGCTTTGTGATGGCTGGACAAGACATGTCATCTGTGTTGGTAACACTCAAAACCATAATGAGGTTCTTATGACTGGTTCTTCACAGGAGAAAGAAGCAACTGCAGATGAGGATCTTCCAGTTCCTGGGTCACCACAGGACCGCACTGTTCTGGATGCTGATAGTCCAAGACAGGTACCAGATGTTGAGTCTTTCATTGCTGCAATGTATGATGACAAGTGGTACGTTGGACAGGTTCTTGAAGTCGATGAAATAGATGGAGAAGCTTTTGTTTCCTTCATGGTCAGTCCAGCAACGAAAGGTCAGAAACAGTTCAAATGGCCTGATGAACCTGATGAGATTTTGGTTCCATTTGAGGACATCCTCTGTTTAGTGAACCCAATTCCAGTCGGTCGCTCCAGAAGGTCCTACAGGTTATCCAGTGAGGATAACATGAAAGTTCAGGACAGTTTGGCAATGTTCTTTTCACGTACAAAGTAACAAACATGTCAAGCTTGTCCAATTGTTATCCAATACTTTGAAGTTGGATTTCATTGTTAGCCCTAAAATTGTTCATCGTTTTCTTAACAGATACGTTACCGCACATGATTCCTCAGCAAAGAGAGACTCATAATAATTTTATTTGTGATAATGGAAAATATTATTTGTTCTTTTAGTTGACAACAACATTTAGTGTTTGAATAGTATATTTGATAAGAAGGAACCAAACTAGCAACTGATATGTTACTATGAAAGTATATTTCTTTTGCAAAAATATTCAAAAGTTTATATTTGTTATGAAACATTGACATCTGAAGGGCATCATTTGAAGGAAAAGTCATGACTCTTCGTTGAAAATAAATGTTTGTGTTCTTCAAAATATACGTTGTTTTTTGTTGCTTTGAAAATTTGACAGATACGTTACTTTCTGCAACTCTATCAAGAAACATATTTCTTGCATCCCAGGCAACATATTTTGAAAACTATGTCTTACAAACCGTGAGAATAAATAAAACAGTTTTCTCTAGAATAACAAAGGACATGTTTACTCTTACAACTAAAAAACTAGTTCATCTGCACTCGGATGAAAAATTATTTTGGACAATGTCAGGAAATAAGAAAATATGTTACTGTGTGACACTAAAGTTGAAAATCATTCAGTTAATGTATGTTTTGCTCAAAACTAAGGCTTGATACCAATGTTCGTAATGAATACATTTCCAATTGCAAGAGAAATGTAAAACATACAAACTTGACATCAATCTGACATACTAAATGTAACGTATCTGTCATCTGACAAAATCATTGGTCTGTTTGTGAGTGTCAGTATCAAAATATCTAGAACTGCCAGAGGGAAGCCGTTTTACCATCATATCTAGGCACTATCCAACTTTGATTTAAGACATATTTTGAAAGAAAACATTAAAGTATATTTTTAAAAGTTAACGAAAGTGGATTGGCGCCTGTTAGTGGAGAATGAATGTTATATCCAACAAAAGCAATACCCACTAACATAGATTCATGTTAACCAAAACAATTACCCTTTTCCTTTATAACACAATGTCTTCACATTTTCAAATGCCAGATTATGTATCTATAGATTAATAGCATTCACAACTTTAAGCAAAAATCTAAATATAAAATGACAACCGTCTATCTGACTTGTGAATGTATATTTATAACCTGATATATCTAGGCTCTAACTGAGTAGGATATGAGAATCATTTCACTGCTCACAATAAATAAAAGTTCATATTCAACTTGTAGAAAGATTGAATAGTCACTCTGCTACCCAAATCATCATACCACACGTACAATTTCATTGAATCTCCGAGTGCGTCTGACAAATTTTTTCTTGCAACATTGAGATCTAAGGGGGCTGCCATATTTGTGATGAGAGCTTCCGTAAATTCACGTAAATTAACGGAAACTCTCGAACTGGGCTCTTCCGACGTGATTGCGGACGTGGCAGCGGTGCCATTTATCAGTTTTACTCCCCGTCATTTATTATTCAGATGATATGCCTTGATCAAATGCGATCATTTGCATGTGTCCTTCTCTTGCTGTTCAGTTGTCCTTAACAAAGATATATATTAGTGGACTCTCTCATCACAACAGACTTCCTTTACGATTCAGAAAACGATCATATTCAGTTTTCCTAGGGAGGTTAAACAACCGGCGCAATCATCTCAACCAGCGCGTCCTCTACTTCCGGTCAGTGTGGCTGACGACTTTTACGTGGCTAAAGCTGCCGACAAACTCGGTGATAACCTTAAACCAATATGCCGCAGCAAAGTGAATTGATGGATAAAGCAGAAGATGTTGCTGACCAGGTAATATTGCCAGTGTGTCTAAGTATTGGTGTGGCTAAGGTCGCCATTAATTGCTTAATATATCAGGCATGTTTGAAACCGGCTCAAAAGACAGATCATTAGGGGTACCTGTCAGTGTCAACATGCTTCTCAGCTGATGCCAGTGTTTTGCTTATTTTTTTTCTATTATATACAAATGTTTTCGTATAGATTTTTTTAAGTACATTGTATAGTAGATATAGTGTGTATGATATGAAGATTCGTTATACAAATACGCATTATATCAGTAACACGTCATCCTTTCCCATGTGCATTTAATTCAGTGAATATTCACAGCTGGTATGTACGATCAGGGCGATAATAGTGTTTTACGCTTGAGTGTTTCAGCAGCCAGCTTGTGTGTTTAAAAAAGTTACCTGTCTTATTTGCAGGGTCTAAATGGTAGGGGTTTAATCCTTCTGCATGTTGAATGTTACACTTACAGTAAACCAAGAGGAAACAGGTGTATTAATTGTGTAAACATGATTTACAGTCACAATATGGTGACCGCAATAATTGTTTGATTCTTTCACAATTTCTTGCTAATCAAGTTTGGTCTAATAACGTACTGTCATTGCTAAAAGTGTTACGTGGTTATGTTAGTTAAATTTGGGTTATGTTTGTGTCTTGTGGACACAAGTTATGTATTGTCAAATTATCTGAAACATTTAGGTTTATCACCTATCTGGTCAACTACCAACACTTGTCAAAACATGGTAGCAACCAACTTGTCGCTGAGCATGTTTTATGTTTAGAACATGTCTCCTTCATGAGACAAGGGAGTTAGCTGACTATAAAAGTCCAGTTTCCACCCTTGCCGAACAAGGCTTGAATTATGGAGTTATATTTGGCTAGACTAAAGAGTCTATGCATAGTCCAATCAAAATTGCATAACAAAATGGACAACCGGTTCATAAACTGTCATTTTAATTGAAGCAAATGCAAGTGATATGAGAGGTGGAATCTGATTGGTCAATAGAAGGGACATAATTTGTTATAGCCACTTGTGGCACTATGATCGAGTCCAGAAATTCGAGCTTTGTTCAACAAGGGTGGAAACTGGACTGTTGCATACTGTTAACTCCCTTGCCTCTGGAGGATGAGAACATGTAGAAGTTAGGTAAAAATCATAAATGCATCCGGATTATTAATCAGATTTTGCAGAAGTTTTAACCATTGTAACCATTTTTCAAATTTATCACAAAATATCCTTTGATGAATTTGACATGGCTGAAGGTAAATTTTAAAAGAAATTAACTAGTAAAAAAGACATTCAGGGATTTTTCATGTTTAAGATCATGGAGGGTGGAGGTAAAGTGTAATTTTGGCCAAATTGGTTAGTGAATTAGTTAGTACTACTTAACATGAGTTGGGAAATAATAACTGACATTTGCCACATGCTTGGTGCCAAATATCGGCCTCTGACGTCTGAGCAGGCCCATGTAGATAAATCAACTAACACTTAGTATCAACTAAGTTCATCTAATGCTGTAAAAAACTAATAAGTGACTTCTTGATTTTACCACTGGCTATCTGGGTAAAAAACACTTGTAACCCCACAGCTACTTTGTAAAAATTTAAACTTTGAGGGCTGACGCTGGAGCTAGTTGACATTGTAGACAAACATTTTTGGCATAAGCTGTTTAATATGATAGTCATCAGCTTTAGGAATTGGCACTATACCTGTAGTCCTTGCCAAACTGCCCAGTAGTTAAGGTATCATAAAGACTAGTAGAAATTTAGGGTTTTGCTATATGTTATCAATAAAAGGACTAGTGGGCGAAAAATGTTAGTTTCTACTGCTGGTCGTGTAGTAAACATTAAGTAACACGTGTGACCAGGCTCATAGATGTAATAGTTGTAATATATCACACGTCTGTTACCAGGGGGAAACAGATTGCATTGACACCATAATTAAATGCCACATGCCATTCGCACAAATACTTTAGTAATTTCAAACATTTAACTGTAGTCAGTTGTACTGCTCAGGTGTCAGACAGTTTCTGTGAGAGTTTGATGTTGGGATAATATGATCTAAACTAGTTGAATGGGGATGGTATGCTTCATACTTGTGGTATAACTCATTGTAATTGGTTGGTTCTCGAATCCTTTCATCTTAACTAAAAGGGAATTATATTATTTAAAATAATTATCAAAGAAAATTGTTATGTTCAGTTATGAATCTGAAAATATTATAATGTTTTGACAGTAATTATCAATCTCATCTATGTGAACATTCTCACTAACCAAGCTAATGAAGATAGTAAAGTGTGTTTAGAGTCACATGTTGATCAAGGTACAAAATGACTTTTCATAATCTACAATCCGTATTGCTATGTAGTATGTTTATCCTACTTTTTCATGTTTATTTAATACATACAACAGACAGTTATCTATTGATTAATTATGATCATAATGGGTGACAGTGGTGAAAAAGTTTTGAAACAACCTGATTGCAAAGTATTGCCACTCTAAACTGTTACTCGATCATGTGTATAGAAATGCTAATCTAGTCTTTATAGTTACATGTTCCCATACCATGAAACAGTCTGATCAACATTGGCTTAACTGGGATTAACACGAGATGATTTTACATCCAATGTCAATGATAATGAGATCAATTGTTTTTGAGAACTAGGATCAGTTAATCATTTAAACTCAACATGATACAACCACATCTTACGAAAAGAGAAGAAATCATACACTGTCATACATGTGTTAGCATGGTAACAGGAATGTAAGATGTAACAACTGGTGAACATCAGTGAAGAGTTTAAGTTTTTCTTTGCCAGAAAACAGCATATTCTCATTATTATCATGTTTGGACAATGTACAAGATATTGCTGCTGCTTTTGTCAATCAGTACACTTGTGATTTAGACAACTGAACAGTTGGTATGTCGATCAGCATGATTTTGAATACATGGGGCTTTTTTGTAACTCCTTTAACAATTCTTTGTAATGATGTTTCTTGGCTACTACTTGTCCCTTTGAATACTGAGTAAGCATTTTGAGTTTATGTATATGTGCCATGATTTTCATGCCGACATGTTTACACAAGCAATGATTAAAGTACAATGAGGACTTGGCTTCCTCTTTGTGTTATCTTTGTATAATAATCCTACATATTTCAACATATCAATGAAGTTGTTATCTGCCCTAAAAGGCATTCTGTATCCGTGTCAATCCAGCTTCAAATTATCATGAAAGATTTGACAACTTTTGTAAAACAAATTGATCATGGATCCCCAGAGCCCTATATTCACTTTAGGGGCCAGCTGAAATGAGGATCTGGACTATGTTCCTCGAAGTGATCTTAGAACAAGGAGTTTCTCATGTCAGTGCTAAAGTGTAAGAGTTACTAGCATCTTTGTGTAATGGGGTTCTGGTGGTAAAAACGGTGGCAGCACACTTAACATTAGGTGATCCGATCATCCATTGTGTCAAGGGGAGCACGGGTGGCCCAGTCGTCAAAGGCGCTGCAATTCGCTGTGTAGAGTTGCGTCCCTTGGCCACGCCAGAAACCTATGATTGTGGGTTCGAATCCCTGTTCGCCCCAATTATGTTTCTAGGTTTGTCAGCACCATACCTGTGCTCGTGGGTTTCACCGAAGTGGTAAACGTCCGAGACCAGTATCACTTCGGGCTTTCCTCCCACATTAAGCTGACACTCCACGATATAACTGGAATACTGTTAAAAGCTGCATTAAACCCAACTCACTCACTCACTCCAGCATGTCAAACGCTAGGTGTCACAACGTGCTCTGTCGATGTATGTCTATTTAGCAGGCTTATTTACACTGTGATGTGATTGAATTATTGTTGGACTCAACACTCACTCTCTGTTACAGATTTTACGAAAGTCAAAGCATGTGCTGCCTCACTTAGCCCGATTCTGCCTCATCAGCACTTTCCTTGAAGATGGGCTGCGAATGTATTCCCAGTGGGGAGAACAGCGAGACTATATGAATGCATCATGGGGCTGTGGCTACTTCCTGGCGTCATTGTTTGTGCTTGTCAACCTCCTGGGCCAGCTGGTGGGGTGTGTCATGGTGCTCAGTCGACAGAAAGTACCCATCGCCTGTGGCCTCCTGTTCTTTATCATTGCTCTACAGGTGAGAGACGCCCTGCTTTGAATGGAATATTCCATTTTCAGAAACGTTTTAGACCATCTGCAGCAGTGCAAATTAACCAAAATTGTTTAGCAACCGAAATAGTGACAACATGTTTATACTGATATCCCTAAAATTATAAGACCTGAAATTCTACCAGCCCTAAAACTGTCTCTTACTAGCAGGCTAGAGCTAGACTGCATCCCTGTCACCTAGCATTATCATCATTCAGTGCTCCAGATAATTTTTCAATCATAGGAGAACCGTACTGGTCATTATCAGAACTGTAGAGTACCAGACATATTTTTTCAAACTTATAAGTACCGTACTGCTTGTTTGTAGAATTGACGAGTACTGGTATGATATTGCGCCAGCATCATTTAACATATTTAAAGACCCGGTGTCGTACAATAGGTTTTTCATGTCAGACTTAGGTAAACATAACCAAGAAGAAAGAATATGAAGGAGTTATTATTAGCCAATGACAATGCAGGATTGGTAGGAAATCCAGTTGCTGCTGACACCAAATGATGTATTTAGTTAAAGTCGATGGTAATGTCGGGTGTAGTAAACAGAAGTTTAACAATGTTTTGAAGAAGGTATTGTAACAATTAATGACAAGAGCGTCCATGCAAAGTATTGTTTGCCCACATATTTCATGGCTTCTATTTCTATTTCAGACGATAGCCTACAGTATTTTGTGGGATCTCCGGTTCCTGCTGAGGTATGTTGTACTAGTTTGTCTGTTGACATCATATCAATATGATGGTAGATAAACAAGTGTGTCTAATCACAGAGGGGTGGTGCACAGGCACAATATCCTGAAGCAGTAGCACACCTAAACCAAGCTTCAATTCGGATCAAAACAGGATTCTACTGACAATTGGTCAAAGGGTCCAGGGTCGGTCGGGAAGCCTAGTGGTTAAAGCATTCGCTCATCACGCCGAAGACCCGGGTTCGATTCCTGACATGGGTACAATGTGTGAAGGCCATTTCTGGTGTACCCCACCGTGATATTGCTGGAATATTGCTAAAAGCGGGGTAAAACCATACTCACTCACTCTAATCACAGCCTTCAAAAATTTTTGCTCTCACGCTTGTCCACTAGCCTGAGACAACTGTGCTGCGGACAAGTAAGAATGGTAGTGCTCATTTATGAGGAGCGTTTGAATGCGATAATGGTGAACCAGTTCTCAATGCTTCAATTTTGCTAGAAATTGGAACTGAATAAAACTGACAGAAAATGTAAACTTTTTGGTCCTGTTCAAGCAGGACCAGCCACAGAATCTAGGGACCAGTGTAATTATCTTTACACATAATTTCTGAGGCTGCAGCAGATGGCACATGATGATGGCATTGTACTGGTGTGATTAGACAATGACTGTGTGTCATAGAGACTCTCTGTAGACCTGGGTCCTACAGTGACACGAGTGGCCCAGTCATCTCATGTGCCACAATTCACTGTACAGGGTTGCTTCCCTTTTGTATGCCTGACGCTATGTTTGTGGGGATGATTCCCGATTTGGCCTGATGTTGTTTCTTGTTTCATCAGAACCATGTCTGTGCTTGTGGGTCTCCCCATCAGTCCTGGTTTTGTTCCCACATCAAGCTGACATGCTGTGATGTAACTGAAATACTGTTGAAAGCGGCAGTGAACCAATCATACTCACTGAGTCCCACATGCATGGGCCTGCCTACATGGTCTAGTGGTAGAGCATCTGCCCTGAGAGGAGACGGTCAGGGTTTCGATCCCTGGCTGCATCATTCCAAAAGATGTTATACGATGGTACTTGTTGTTACCCTGCCTGCTGTTCAGCATTAAGGGGCTAAAACAAGGACTGGTTGGCTTGGAGTCAGTATACTGTGTCTAGGTGGAATATTTATGTATCTATAAACTTGGCATTAGTCAGGACTAGGACAAGCAGCCAAACACACACGGATGCATGTCACTATATTAGTGCAATAATCTTGAACGCGATGTTAAACCCCATTTCAACTCACCTACATGCAAAGCATATGTTATTGTCATTTTTATGTCCAGATACCACTGCAGTTATTGAAACGAATGACTATTTGCAGGAACCTTGCCCTTGCTGGGGGCGTCTTGCTGCTGCTGGCTGAGGATCGTACAGAGGGCAGGAGCCTGTTTGCCGGCCTCCCATCCCTTGGCGAGAACAACCCAAAACAGTACATGCAGCTCAGCGGCCGTATCCTCCTCGTCCTCATGTTCCTCACACTGCTCCGTTTCGAGGTCGACTTCCTGTTGCTCGTCCAGAACCTTGTGGGCACTGCACTCATCGTTCTCATAGCCATCGGATTCAAGACAAAGTTATCTGCCCTTGTCCTAGTTGTTTGGCTGACAGGTCTTAATATGTATTTCAATGCCTGGTGGAACATTCCCGATTATAAACCTATGCGTGACTTTCTCAAGTACGATTTCTTCCAGACATTATCAGTCATAGGGGGTTTGTTGCTAGTTGTTGCCTACGGACCTGGAGGGGTTAGCATGGATGAACATAAAAAGAAATGGTAGATAAAACAAATCAAGTCTAGGCATGTGTTAAGTGGAGTGTACACAGTATGATGTAACTGAAACTGTCCAAAATGCATGCGACATTTGCCAGTTGTCATAAACTCATTATCATGATTACTCACTCTTGTCACATTACTATAATGTAACCAAACGAAAGATGTCCGATGTTGATTCCTGGTATTGTGTGCCGTATGCATCTGTATGAAAGGGATGATATGAATGATTCCATTTAAACCTGCTGTTATACCAGCACGGAGTACTGCATGTAGTATTTTGTAACCTTATCAGAAGGATTGTCATAGATGTTGCACACTTGACATTTACAGTGCTTAAAGCCCTCAGACATGGCTGCATTTTCTAGTCTTCATATTTTGTCAATTTAGCCAGACCAATTCTTTCTTTTTTTACTAGTTTTCTAGATATTAATATGAGAAGGAAAGTCAATGTAAAGTTAGTGACATGATGTCCATTATACATGTTATAAAGTTAGTTGATTATTTGTTATATAAGATCTTAAAGTTAAAACACTTGCTAAAAGCAGATCGAAATAAGCTTACTTTAAAGTTAGTTGATTATTTGTTATAAGATCTTAAAGTTAAAACACTTGCTAAAAGCAGATCGAAATAAGCTTACTTTAAAGCAAACTCACGATCTTATTATGTGTATAATTGAGAATAAAGTCATTTGTCAAAACAAGGAAATAATTGGTCTAGACTTCCATAGTATCTCATTCATGGCTACCAACATGTGTATTAAACAAATAGAAGCTGTTGTATGTAGTGCGTCATTGAAAACTATCTACCAGTTCATTTTTATTCTCTGATTATATTTGTAGTGTGTGAATGTGGCACAGACAGGGGAAGGTGCTATCTTGACACATATACCTTGTCAACTTTGTAAATGTTGAAACAGTTACTCTGGATGTAGGTATGGGATGGTGTAGTGGTCCAGCAGGTGGAATGGTCGGAAGTTAAATCTGGATGGTAGTAGCCCAATGGGCTAGCTCTTGCCATTAGTTAATATTTCCATTAGTTTGGGGCATTAGTTTGGAATACCAAGTTAGCGCCGTAACGACTTGTCTAACTTGACTCCCTACAATATGAGTGCCAGGCAGTGAGGTTGTGTATCTATACAGCATGATACATGTATATATGATGAGCACATGATTTTTGATATTACTAATTTAATAATGCTACTATTTTTGGTATATTCCATCGTTCCCAGACTTATTTCTCCTCCAATGGATTCCAATTTACGGAATATATTTTGGTTTGGTAACCATGGTAACTAGACGTTCTGATCGATGATTCAGCGTCTTGACCTATCAAGTGCTGAGTTTCCATGTATTGTAGTGTGTATCTTCCAGATAACAAGCTGTTATGTTACAGCAGGAAGCCCAATGAATCCGAACACTGCCAGTCTCTGCTTGATAAATATGATTTGGCTCATAATAATATTGAATAAACTCCAATCTGTATTGTAACTTTGGTGAATCAGTGATGCTAGTACTGCTGTCTAGAAGGATGTGTTTTGTGTATTGAAGAATACTTAGTTGTATGTGCCAGCTCAGGAATGTTATAGAGTAAGGAAACTAGTACATGTAGTTGTCCCAGGGACGCCATGTATTACCACAGATGTTAAGGCCTCTTCCTTTCATATTGTCACCTTAAGTGAAGTTAAGCACCACAGGGTTCGATTTAAGGAACTTTATATACCTGCACCTGGTGCATGTTGTCGGGAAATCTAGTTGCTCCAGACCAAACCAGGTTGCACCAGACTAAACCAGGTTGCACCCTCGTCCCATAAATTTATCAAAGTTGAAACAGATGCATAAACTAGTTTAAAAAAGTACAATCCCAGGTCTGTGATGACTATCATGAATTACACGGTGATTTGTGATGTGTGGTAAATATAGCTTAGAGATATTGTGTTCAAAGATCGTTGTGTTGACAAGTAAGGGTTAGTTTGACACAAATTTGCAGCTTTTCACTTGCACTTAGTGCAAGTAGACATGAATATTACCGTAGGTTGCACTTTTCAAGAATAGGTTGGACTGGTGCATGTTTTGTATACCTAAATCAAGCCCTGCTACATTACTAGAGTTAATCTGTCAGGTCAAAAAATCAGCTGTACTTTAACTTCTTTTCAGTAGTACATACATGTACGTATTTCCAGATGCACTTTTGATTGAAATATTTACAGGTTAAACGTTTTGGTATTCTAACAAAGTTGACAAGAACAGAATTGCTGGGGTATGATTGGTGTTGTTTTGGGCATTGTCGGCCATTGTTGACTGCTGGTTGCAAACTCAGTACCGCAACACCACCTGCACATGTGTGCCAATATACCAGACTGTGGCCAAGGGGAGATAATCAAAGAACTATTTATGTGTCATCGTTATTTATGTATTCTTTCATTAAGCATGTTGAGTATCATTGGAAGTTGCTTGTGTGTTTGTTATTTTAGAAGTCGATGAGTGTGTGGTGATCTCTAAGGGGTCTTGTTAAAAGCTTCTGAGCTGATCGTAAATTTGTGAGCATTGCCATGGTGACTGGGTGATGGGTTGCAGTAGACTTACCCTGCTGAAATAGCATAATTATTCAATAGTCAGCCAGCCTCAAACGTACAATATCCTACACATGATCGTGAGGGAGCATGGTTTTGCCAGTCTCATTAGAATCAGATCTATCACTCCAAGACGGTACCTGAAGGTCTGATAATCCCACCATTGAAGGTCCCATCAGGAAATTTTGACCTCACAATCTGAATGACTGATCTGTGGATTCAGCTGCCAGCTTTCTGAAACAATTTCACTTCATTGATATACCAATTAGAACCTGAAATTTCCCTTTTAACAACAAAACACAAATATGTCTTCTATGAGTTTCTTTTGGTTGTAAATGACGTGGAGTAAAATTATCCCCATTATAATTGAGTGGTCTTTTATGTTCACTTGCAATTGGACGTTTAACTTCATTTTCAAGTTTCAGAAGTAAGATATGCTGATCTGAATGCTTTGCTCACTTGCAGAGAGGTATCCTGTGAAGGTAAAAGATCTGATTTTAATGAGGTTGCACAGTGGGTTCTCCTGAGACAGCTAGCCTTAGTGCTGGGTTCCCTTGACACCATGGCTCCAGTGAAGTGGGGTGTGAGGCCCTTCCAGTGTCTTGTCTTCTGCCTGTATGTAGTGATGTGGAGCTGGGTGTGTCCATCTGTTGTTACACAGTGTATTATATCTTCATTCTACCGGTACCTTGGACATGTTAATCATGAGCCGGATTCAAAGGACGTGATGCTAATAATGGATACTGACGATAAGATAGAGACGTCTTCCGGAATAACGGTAACAAATGGGTGTCATGAAGTTGGCAGTGCTTGATAATAATATATTATGGGTGGCGTGTCTTGAGAAACTGTATTTTCACACTGTTTATTATGGAAATGGAAATATAATGTCATGGACAATTGAGGATAATGTGTCTTGCTACTCATAACCATCATTTGTATTGTTGGTGAATTTATTTTTTCCAGACTATCCCTATGCCAAATTGTACAGCCTTTTGCAGACTAGTCTAGTCAGTAATCCAGTAACTGTCCCAGTTCTTGTATATCATTTACTTGTGTATTATCACCGAGATTTGAGCACATACACCCAACTGTTACTAAACTTAAAATGAGACACTGGTGCACCATAGTTCGAAACTCAAAACAGTATGAATCATTCAAAATCAATATTTTGCAATTTTATGTGATTGTGTGTGTGAGTCAGATGGTTTGTGAACTGATGCTATTTGACATACTAGCATTGCCATATATAGACCATATTCGGAATATTCTGTCATTTGAAAAAAGTAGATTTAGAGAGAAAAATTACCGTTTTGTTTTTCACCAAGTGGAATGTGATACACCTGATTTGGATACCAGGATCACATTGCACAGATGAATTACGACCTTTGGGAATTATTTCCAAGTTACACAATACATGGCTGGGTGTGTTCTGGTTGACTATGAATGTGCAGGAAAACGACAGTGAACGTGTTGACGTCTATAACTGCCTAGCAGTAGTGGGACGATACACCGATGCATTGATGGATCACGATTTTTTACTTAGCGATCATAATCGCATACTAAGTAAAAAGTATTGATTCTTACCTTAATTGACTTCTTTTATAAATGTTACACTATTTACTAGTGAAAATGAGAAGTGTAGTAAATCATCTGTGTGCCAGGTATTTGGCCATCCTCTCTATGAAAAAGATGGCTTAGATCACGAAAAAGAGCACATGCAAGTATCATGATGCGTATCATATCTTGAGCAAGGTATCGCGATACGTATCGAATCGCTCAGTTTGTGTATCGTCCCAGCCCTGCTGCCTAGTGATGACAGTGACATCAAATTAGCTCCCATCAGATTATTGTACAACAGGAAAGACATATTGCTGATAATTGATCATATATATCTACCGATTTAGTTTATTCTTTTCTGGTACACCTACCTGCTTACAAGCTTTCATACGTGGAGGACACCCTAAAGGTCAGACTTATTAAGCAGTGACAGCTACATTGAAGTGAAGCTAAACGTTATTTATGGGTTGACATTCTGTTGGAAATGAGTTCACATCACCTGCTGGATAGAACTTTACTGTATAGGATAAGTCATGTATTGCCACTTTATGCTCAGAATTAGTGTTGTATTGTTACTTTACTATAAGTACATGATCCACACCATTACAGTCAGAGTATCAAGTTATATTACTACAATTATCATATTGTCACCTTATACTCTCAGTATGGCTACCTTCCTTGTGTGATAATCAGTGTATTGTCACCTTGCTTTAAGATAATAGCTGCTGTTGACAAGGTGTACTGTTGCCATGGTGACAGTCCAGTCTGCCTTCAGACAGACCCAGTGATGGATGTATAGTTCTAGAATATAACACCCTATCAATATACTGTACATAGCGGATAATACTGAAAACGTATCTCTTTTCTTTCCTCACAGGCATTTACTGAACATACGCTGTCATTGTTCTCTTTAATTTCTATGGAATTGTTCAAATATTGCACATATTTATTATGATTTACCATGTTTACTTAAGACGGTTCAATTTTATATTTAATTTTAATCATGTAAACCCATCTTTTGCCAAAGCTTTTTCATACCCAGTAGTATATTTACATGATTCATACAGTCTGTTCAAGCGTCAATGCCTGCTGTGGTTATGTGCAATTCAAACAGCTATGTTTAGGGCAACATGACACTGTAACCTTTCTATTTTGTTGAGTATCTCTAGTTTGAGGTCAGATGCTACAGTTACATAATAAAATCACCACAATGCTTAGGGCGAATTTATAAGAAAGACTGCATGTTTCATAATTCAGCATTTTTTTAAAAAACATGCATTTATGATTGATAAACCAGAGTTTTTTCTTTGATATTTAAGTGCAGGTATTGTACATAGGTTTAGTCTGGCTAAACGTGTTATGATTGGTGTCGTTATGCTTAAACTGAAGTTTCTTTATTGCAACCCTAGTATTGATTACCTATTGTTACGTGTACTGTTGAGCCTTAAGACGCATGTTGTTATATTTCTTTCCTCATGCATTGGTGAGTGTTGTTACCATGATGTGTAACTGTCAGTTTACATGAATGAATGTTTGTAAATAAACTGTGTTGGTTCAAGAATCGGTGTTGCCACTTTTGTAAATGTGCGGTGAAGAATTGCGTCCCTCAGGGTTTGCACCGATTGTTTCTCAGCACCTGTGCTCGTGGATTTCACCAAAGTGGTAAACGTGTGAGACCTGCATCACTTCAGGCTTTCCTCCCACATTAAGCTGACAGGCCGTGATATTACTGGAATACTGTTAAAAGCAGTGTTACAAACACAATGCTGCCAATTATCGATGTGGAGCATTATTCTTTATCTAACAGCTGTTTTGGACATTTCTCATTATCCAGTAGTACTTTTGGACATTTCAGATTATGCAAAAGCATTGTGTTGTGTTTATCCTTATCCAACACTGGTGTATGGTGTTTTTCATTATCCAACAGCACTTTTGGACAATTCTCATTATTCAACAGTGATGTGGGGCATTTCTCATCATCCAACAGTGGTTTTTGACATTTGTCATACAACAGCAAATGGGTCGTTTCTCATGATGCACCAGTGATGTGGGGTGTTTCTCATCCCACAGCAGTGTAGGAATTGACATTCACTTGCTCTCATGATTTTAAAATTATCAGTATTTGAGAGAAACTTATATGACCACCATGCCTTTCATTATGAAAGTCAAATACAGCTGGTTAGATTTGATGTCTTGACCACCTGACTGCTCCTACCTGTCACTTCCCGTAGATGCTCGTTCAGTATTTAGTTGTTTAAAAAACATTCAAGTGTGAATCGAAAATTTTAGAGAAAAAGTTGTAGGAAAGGATATGTCAGAGGGAGCTTTTCAGGAGATATTCTGGTGTCCTCCGCCTTGATGTTGCTGGAATATTGCTAAAAGCGGCGTAAAACTATACTCACTCATTGTCAGATTAGGAGCATGGGGAGGTAAGCCGAAAACCACAACATACAGCCACTGCTACTTCCACGTGTGCACAGGCACAATATCCTGAAGCAGTAGCACACCTTAACCCAGCTTCAATTCGGATCAAAACAGGATTCTACTGACAATTGGTCAAAAGGTCCAGGGGCAGTCGGGAAGCCTAGTGGTTAAAGCGTTCGCTCGTTACGCCGAAGACCCGGGTTCGATTCCCGACATGAGTACAATGTGTGAAGGCCATTTCTGGTGTCCCCCGCCGTGATATTGCTGGAATATTGCTAAAAGCCGCGTAAAATCATACTCATTCATTCACTCGAAAGGTCCATGCATATGTTCAGTCGGGTCAGCTTGTGATCCGGTGTCAACATTTTCCGTACCTCCTTGACGTGTTTTCAGTGAAAATTTTACTCACCAAATCTGATCCCAATAGTGTCAACGATATTCTGAACTGGCCGGTCCAGACTCGAATATTACAGACCGCCGTCAAACAGCTGGAATATTGCTGAGTGCGGCGTAAAACAACAAACCAACCAACCCATTACATAAATCTGTTTCGAAGGCTGATGCAAATAAGTAGATAGGGATTGCCATCGCAAAATATAATTAGTTAAATATTCATATCAATTATTGAATTTTGCTTTTATATTCACTGACCCGTGAAGATCCGGGGTAGAATAGGTCTTCAGCAACCCATGCTTGCCGTAAAGGGCGCCTATGCTTGGCATAAGAGGCGACTAACGGGATCGGGTCGTCAGGCTCGCTGATTTGGTTGATGCATGTCATCGTATCCCAATTGTGTGGATTGATGCTCATGATGTCAATCACTGGATTATCTGGTCCAGACTCGATTATTTACTGACCGCCGTCATATAGCTTTAATATTGCTGAGAGCGGCGTTACACAACAAACAAAGAAACAAAGAATTTATATTCACTGACACAAAACTACATCCAAGAGATGCATAGGGAATATTACTGAATGTTTGTTGACTTCAAAAAATCATTTGATCGAAATAACGTCTTTATACTTGCTCGATAAAGGTAGACATGGTAAGAAAATTAAAGATAAGTATACTATTAAGAACTATATATGAAAACGTAAAAGCATGTGTAAGAAGAAGTGAAAATAATATGGAGTCCTGATGTATGCAATGCACGTGCAGGTGTAAGACAGGGATGCATACTCTTCTTTTTATCTTGAACATTGATGACGAAGTTGTACAGGCATAGTCGATTATACTGTCTGCGGATGACGTTGCAATTTTTGTTCTAAATGAACAGAAAAAGATCTATAATATTCTATATAGATATTGTGCTAAGTGAGTGAGTGAGTGAGTATGGTTTTACGCCGTTTTTAGCAATATTCCAGCAACATCACGGCGGGGGACACCAGAAATGGGAATCGAACCCGGGTCTTCGGCGTGACGAGCGAACGCTTTAACCACTAGGCTACCCGACCGCCCCTTGTGCTAAGTGAAAAGTATCTGTGAATACTAACAAAAACAAAACTAAAGTTGGTGTTTTCAAGAAATGTGGAAAGACATCTTAACATAATTTTTTAATTTGATGTTTACACGATATACGGCTTTTCCATTGGACGAGAGGTCGGTCACATGACCGCGAAATTGACGCTCATAAGTGTATGAACGACACAATTTGACGTTCATACGTTTTTCACGAGATCGTGTTCTTGAAATGACGTAAACACTGACGGACAACTTCCACATTCCTGGGGAAACCCCTGGGAATTCCCTAGCACGAAAACATACCAATCATATCTCGTTAGAGAAAACGCATGACAAATACACGTGATAGCTGAAAATTGAGTTGGAGATTACCACATTTCAACCAACGAAAGTAGTTTGACGCCGCATGAAAGCATTGAAAGCAATCAAGGAAACATCAAAGTGTACGGAACTTAGGAGCCTGTACGATATTCGGAGACCTGACTCTAATGAACAAACGAAGAAATGCACATCTAAACTATCGTAGTATCGACTCAATCCGTGCCTAGGCTGACGTTGACCGTCTCCAGCAATCTATGAATTTACCTTAGTGTCTGTTTGACGCATCTTTATTCACCTTTCAATTATCGGCCAGTTGATCAGCGATGACTAACACATGTAACCGCCACAGGTTCATTAACAACTTCGGAAATCTCTCCCGTCACGTTTTTCGTGTCGGCCATTTTGACGTCTTGTACTTGATGTAAATGTTATACGACGCGCTGTCATTGTGACTGACTTAATGAGGTAGTTCTTTACAGAGCTTTCTCATCTAATGAGGATATGATTTGAACACATGTGCTGCGTTAGATGTTTCTGAAGAGCAAGTTGTGCATCCATACGCCCATGTCACCTCTCTTTTTGAGGAACTATTTTACTCCGCGATATAGCTGGTTGTTGTATGGCTGTCAGTGTAAACACGAAGTCACACGTACTAGGCCTAAATAAAATTGTGTTTAGATCTTGGCCTACATCCTTTGAGGTAAGAAATTATGATAATTTTTTTTATAAGAATTGACTTTCACTTTCTGTGAGTTCATTGGAGTATGAACCTTCATAGAGGGAGGGCCAAACATTGTATGAACGTCGTCGCAAGCACCGACGTTCAAACAGTTTGGCCCTCACTCTATGAAGGTTCATACTCCAATGAACTCACACAAAGTGAATGTCAATTCTTAAGTATTCAACTGAGCAGTCAATTAGTACATTTTGCTATCCACCTGTTGAAACACTGTTTAAGATGTTTGATTTGACGACTCGAAACTTTGTGGAACCCTATATCGCCACAGTATTATTGAAAAAATCCATACCGAATTCTGCAAATGTGTTCTTGGCGTCAGCTCCCAGTCACCGAACATGGCTATTTTAGCAGACTGCCTAAGCCTACCCGATGTTAGTAAACTATCAATGCGGTGTTGTCTCATAATGGATAAGTTTGCTCAGACAACCACATACTCGATACTCTAGACGATGCTATTGACCTTTTTCACACTTTCGCCATCTTGGATCGAAAACGAGGCTTGGAGAGCATAGCTCCATGCAGTGAGAGTCGCATCAGCTCATAGGGAATAGACAGCATGTTTTGCATTTCACCGATGGACATTTCAAACAAACAAAAAATGGTATCCTCTGTATATAATACAGAAGATATTTCACATTAAATCATGAGGTCCAACTAAAATATGCCTGTTATACACTGGAATTAGCATTTTGCTGTCAGGATCCCGGAAGTGAATCGATAGGTGCATTTCGAGATAGGTATTTCAGAAATAGATTGTTTTATCATAACCTCGTCGGCATATAGGTACAATGTGACAGTACATTCAATGACAGAAGTTTTGTATCGTAAATAAACCGCATAACATGAAACACGTCAGTGTACTTTTGCAAAATTGCTCAGTCAATGCGTGGCTTGGCGAACTCTAGATCAAGATTGAGATCATGTTTATTTCACGTTTCATAGTGGTGTTTGCTGCACAACGCACTATCGTTTTGCCATGAGTCCAGTTGACAAAAGACACTTTTTCTGCTATGATTTTCATTTTAACATATTACAATGTTAATTATGAAAATAATTCGTGTGTCAAAATAAATATTCAGAAGGGGCGATAACCCTATTCAGTGTGTACAATGACAGATGATACTTTACTTGTTCTTCAAACATCACTTACTTAACTGATTATTGCCGATTGAGATTGCACCGTGCACTACAAAAGTAATAATGTGTGAACTGTTTAAAATAAGTTAAAAGGAAACTAAAAATTGATAAATATAAATAATGCATGAAATTGAAGAAATATAAGAATTGATACAACTACCAACTTCTTGAACACCCTCACCTAATCCTGTATGATGATAGGTAATTGTATATCAAAAGGAAGCTACTAATACATTTATCCTGAATAGTTTGAAAATGCCTTGATCAGATATGAGTACAGATAAAATAACAAAAGATAAAAAGGAATCAACTTCAATTGGTAATCAAGCCAAGATAAAATATATGTATCAGTACAAATTATGTTGATGGAACAATCTGGATTTCTCATATTAGACAAAGAAAAACAAACCAAAATTTTCATATCTTTATTTCTCACAATATAAGTTTTCAAAACTTAACATGGACAACCACATACTCT